ATATCTCTCACACAGAATATTATATATAATAAAATTTTTCTTAAGGATTAATTTATTGTATTATTTGATTTAATAATATAACGAATAAAATATTGTTTAAATCAATATGATATGAATTTGGACCGATTATCTAATTAAGAGAATTCCTATTCCTATATATATATATTCCTACCACGCCAGTGTAGTCGTACTCAAATATCAAGGTATTATTATGCGTGTATGTATATCATGTTACCTCTGAATAAACCTATAATCGTTTTGATGCCTAGAAATTACTTCAAAGCGCAAATCGCTTTCATAATTTCGCGTTTTAATTAATAATTGCAACAGTTTATTTATCACGTCATCGAAAACATAATGGAATGTGAAGGCAATGTATACTGTTAAAATTATAGTTTCCACCGTTGTTCTCGGGGCAACAAACTCTGCGGCTGGACACTTTATAGTTTATTCTGTGGCGCAATAAATTCCGAGCGAAAAAGTGCAAAACCGCAGAGGCGAATCGTCTAATGTCGCATATTGTGATAAGTAGGAATAAATGTCGAGAACCATAAAATTCGATATGCTTTTTATTCAGCGACCACTACTGAGCGAACATTATCCGGACTCATGAGCTAATCACGAAAAGGATTATCCCAAAAGGATTATTACAAAGTAATCTTCACATTACGGAAACGTCGGTTGTGCGTGATTATACGCTAATTCTTTTCGTTACATGTGTAACATCGAATCGTTGAAATATAAACGTCACTATAAATTCTTCCATAAAAGTCCACAACATAATAATTTTCTCTTTTCGATCATATTCCCTTTATAATGAAAACCTGTTCCACATTGCACAGTCTAAGAACACTTGTTTTGAATTTAAAGCATAAATTTAAAGCAAATTTAAAAGATTTATTTAAAAAATTAAAGATTGCTACATAATACTAGTACTGCGTTAACCTGATTTATAACAAAACATTACATACAATATAATTGTAAACGTAATACTATGTATTATATTTACGATTATTTGTCGCGGACAAAGATTTTATAAGGATAAATTATTGTAAATGTCGTCAAAAGATAAAAACATTAATTAAACAAACTTGTGTAAGGAGTTAAGTGATATAGTGTCTTTTTGTAAATTTAGTACCTGTCTCTATTTATGGATCATTTCGGAAATCAATCTTTTGTTTAACATTTTTTCCTCTAGTTAAAAATTTTAACATTATCCAAATTAAATTGATGTCTCATACCTACCCTATGCTCCGTAATTCTGTCTTTAGTCATCTTTGTTTGGCCAACATATAATGATTTGCATTCCGTACAGTGAATTTCATAAGCTATTGTACATTTGATTTGGAGAGCGAAATGATTTATTTTTGTACTTTAATGTATCTACTCAACTTATTGAGATAAGTATAAGATAAAAACACCAATCGTTTATTCTTTAGTTCCAAAATTTCAAATACTGCGCGATTAATTAATTAGAAGGATTCAAATTAATGTCGAGACATTGAACCCAAATATCAGTAGGTTTATAAAATGAAATTCCTACCACACCGATATTAAAGTTAACCATGTCAACTCCTCTATTAAACAATTCTTTTCCACTACAAAAATAGATGATACATTTATGCCCGTTTTCACCAACGTAAATTAACTTTAATCTTGATTTAGCTTACTCTTCGTCTTTTTCTAGTTCTAAAGGTTAAAAAAAGACGAAGAGTAAGTTGAACCGAGATTAAAATTAATCTATGTTGGTGGAAATGGACAGTAGTATTTCATTTGTTTTTAAGCCACGACATTTTCTTGCACAGTCCCCATTTAACATAATTCATGAATTTATATTGTGTCCTAAGGAAAGTGTGTTATAAACTACATAGGAAAGTATCTATCAAGGCTTGTATAAGTTTACAAATATTATGACGTAACATTCTTTGGTGATAAAAGCCATCAGATCAATTTTTAACTTAAGCAATCCATTACAAAGTTTATGTTGTATTCAATTACACTGTGTAACTTTTTTCATGTTTCATGATATATCGCAGATAATTCTGATAAGTTTTTTTGATGGATTACAAATTCTAAAATAAAACAATAAATGCTTCAGCACATCAGTTTTTTTAAGAAAAATCGGTTTAAAAATTAAGAAAAACGAATTTTTTGCCATTTTTGAAATTGTCCAAAAAAATGGACATTATAGAAATTCGGGCATTAACTGAAATGAAAACTCAAATCTTAAGATATAACTAAAATAAAGATAAATAAATAACATGAAAAACAAAATGTTTTTGTAGCCCGCTGCAATCTCTCTATGCTATAGCTTCTCTACGGATTAATCGTTTGGAAAATGTCAAAATCCTATGATTATTTAATTGATTAGTTAGTTTATTGAAGTTAAATAATTATATTTTATTAGATATTATTTAATTATTAATATTAAAATATTTATAA